TCCGCTATTATTAACAAAATAATAATAATAATAATAATAATAATAATAATAATAATAATAATAATAATAATAATCCTCCCTATATATAATTCCCGAATGCGTTGAGCCTACGTGGCTGTTACTGGTGCTTCGGATTCCTATTTGGCGAAGAATCATGCTTCGTAATTAGGTTTGGATAAATAATATTGATATATTAATAATTAATCATCTAGGTTCGGGTATTCCATAAATATTATTTAGCTAACTTAGTTATTTTAAAATCACTTTTACTAATATAACCCTTTAATTCCTTATAATTTTACATAGTGAGATACTAAGTGACTAATATATCCCTGAATTTTGATTTGTTTCCTTCAATAAGCTATTGAATTATAAATGTATTTTAAAAGTTGATAACTTTTGTATTTCTTATCGGTTTTACATATATAATATATCAAATTAGTTATCTTTTGATGATCTTCGATTTGACATCCATATTGTCTATATGAAATAAATAAATTATCTTTATCTTTATAATAATAAAAAATAATAATATTTATTAAAATTCATTAGAAAAATAAAATTATTTCTCAATTGATATATTTATATGTAATGTAGTTATATATTGTAAGTTAAAAAAATAGTATAATATAACACAAGTAAGTTGCGCAAATAAAAAGTGTCATAATAAATATATAATAATATATATATTCTTATAAAAAGTATTTAAAATTTCAAACTATTTTTTCTTATTAATTTTAGATTTAAAAAAAAAATTAGCAAGCACCCGTGTAATACACGGGTGTTGTACTAGTAATCCTCCCTATATATAATTCCCGAATGCGTTGAGCCTACGTGGCTGTTTCTGGTGCTTCGGATTCCTATTTGGCGAAGAATCATGCTTCGTAATTAGGTTTGGATAAATAATATTGATATATTAATAATTAATCATCTAGGTTCGGGTATTCCATAAATATTATTTAGTTAACTTAGTTATTTTAAAATCACTTTACTAATATAACCCTTTAATTCCTTGTAATTTTACATAGTGAGACACTAAGTGACTAATATATCCCTGAATTTTGATTTGTTTCCTTCAATAAGCTATTGAATTATAAATGTATTTTAAAAGTTGATAATTTTTGTATTTATTATCGGTTTTACATATATAATATATCAAATTAGTCATCATTTGATGATCTTCGATTTGACATCCATATTGTCTATATGAAATAAATAAATTATCTTTATCTTTATAATAATAAAAAATAATAATATTTATTAAAATTCATTAGAAAAATAAAATTATTTCTCAATTGATATATTTATATGTAATGTAGTTATATATTGTAAGTTAAAAAAAATAGTATAATATAACACAAGTAAGTTGCGCAAATAAAAAGTCTCATAATAAATATATAATAATATATATATTCTTATAAAAAGTATTTAAAATTTCAAAATATTTTTTCTTATTAATTTTAGATTTAAAAAAAAATTAGCAAGCACCCGTGTAATACACGGGTGTTGTACTAGTAATAATAATAATGACAGTAATGCTCACCAACCCACGGTGCGCACATTTTAATATGTCAACCGCTTATGTGACATGCACATATTGGTGATATTTTTTTTTAACATATTAACTTCACCAATGTTTGAATGACACATAAGCGATGGACATATTAACATGTGCCCACCGTGAGTAGGGGAGCATTATCCAATGGTGCATGTCACTATTTCATAAACTAACTACTAAAAACGGAAACATATTAAATTGATTTCCAACGACAATTCTAATGGATATTTTTCAATATTATTTCCGTTGGAATTTTCCAATAGATTCCAACGGAAATTCCAACAAAAACATTCCGTTGGAACAAATTTTCCATTGAATTTTAACGATTCCAAAAGTAGTTTTTCCAACGATGGTGGAAATAAAAATTCCAGCGGAAATTTCATATTCCAACCGAAATTCTTACATTAAAAAGTCGTTGGAATAATCAAATTCCATCAATAAATCCAATGAAAAACACATTCCAACGAAATATTTTCGTTGGAATTTCTGTTAGAATCATTCCAACAGATGCTATACCATTAAAATATCTTTTGGAATTTCCATTGTAATATATTAGCGTAGGATTTTTTGTTAGAAATGTCATTTTCTTTGTAGTGACTATTCATCTAAGCCAATCTCAAATTTTATACTAAAACTCAAAATTTTCAAAATTCATTTTGTAACATTAGAACTAGAAAATGGATAAAATACAAAACCATACAAGAACTCAAACGCTTACTAGTACACCAAACTCAATTGCAGTTGATATTTTTATGTAAAAAATGAAATCATTAGTGTTACTGTGTTACATCAAATCTTCACAAGCAGCAGCACAAACACCACCCTTTGGCTTTTCTTGATCACTAAAAGAGATACCAGCTTCATTAAACAGAGACAACAAACACAAAAGATCATCATTTGACAGTTTGGACGGCCTCTTATCCAAGAACTCACCCGACTCCAAAACGCTCACGATTTTCCTCCTGAGAATGCCAACCCCATTATCGGAGCCCAAACACGATCCGAATCCTTCTTCATCTCCATCACCATTGCTATCACATTCACCACATTCTGTATTACCATCTTTGGAAAGCAAACCAAATTTAGACAATTTCATTAACTCCATCAACTTCCTCTTCTGTTTGAACGTTGCGCCTAAAGTCTTGTTTTTCTTGCAAAAACAAGTCCTAGTGAAAGCCCACCACTCGTCTAGGTCAACATTCAGGATTTCACTTTTCGGGTAGATTTTCACCACTGAGGAATCAACTCTCGGGCATGGTACAAAGTCCCTTTTGCTTACATCCATTACGAATTCAACAGTAGCAACCAGATTCACATTCACGGCCAGTCTATTGAACTCGGAGTCTCCTGGTTTTGCCAAAAGCCTTCTCGCGTACTCTTTCTGAAGCAATAATGTTGCACTTCTAAACGGATTTTTGGTTGCACCGTAAACCAATTTAGCCAACAAAGGCGATGATATGCCATAAGGAATGTTTGCCACGACAAGATTGAATTTTGGGAACTCGGTCCTCAATGCATCACCATTAATAATCTGCAAAACAGTCGACAACATAACCGAGTAAATAGCTATAAAATTGCGTTCGACTCATGAGAAAATCAAACATTGTACGAATTGGAAATAAGAAGACTAATGTGGACAAAAAACCAATTTTTCTAACTGGCTGCAACTTGGACTAATAATCATACAGGCATTTCACCAAACACCTTGAATGCACCAAAAACATAAAAAAAAAAAAAAAAAAACTCACGTCGAGACGGCCCTCAAACCCTCTCCCAGCGACCCGTTTACGCAGAACCTCAACCATACGACTGTCAATCTCGACGGCCACAACTTTGTTGGCGGCCTCAAGGAGCTTGAGAGTGAGATTCCCGGTGCCAGGCCCGATTTCCAGAACAGTGTCATCGGGCTTCACGCCCGAAGCCCGAATGATGGCGTCCAGCACTCGCGGGTTGGTCAGGAGGTGCTGCCCTCTGCTTTTAAAAAGACGTATTTGCCCTTCTTCTTCTTCTTCTTCTTGTCCGTTAGTTTTCCAGCAAAAGCCGCCGGAGCCATCGCCGGACTTTGTCCGGAGGTAGAGGCAGAAGAGGTTGCGGCAATAGTTGGGGTTGAACAGATTATCAGAAAAAGCTTTTCGCAGATGGAGCATTCAGATTTTCTTTTCCTTCTTCTCTATTTTGTTTTCTTTTTTATTTTCCCCCAATTTGAAGTTGAATTTCCAGCTTAATGGTTCAATTCGGCCGCTTAATTGAGTCATTAATTATTAATTTAATTTTTTATTATAATATAAATAATGTGTAAAATCAATTTTAATTAATACTCAAATTGATTAAAATCTGATTAGGAATATAAACATACTAAAGTTAATAGAACTTCCAATTTTTGCCAAAAAAAAAAAGAATAAGATGATAATAATATAAAATTAAAATTTTAAATTTTGGTATATTCGATATTTTGGCATTTTTTTTTCTAGTAACATCATAATTTTTTGGTATGCAACCCGTAACTTGGCGAAAGCTGCATTTGAAGGGATCCCATATTGATTGGACTATCAATATCTAAAATTGTAATGAGCTCCATTTATCGTGTTGAAGTTTTATCAATATCGACGAGTCGAACAATATAAAGTTTCATAAACATGCACATTTTCGAGCATAACAAGTTGAGCATAAGTCCATATGCTTGGCAGTTGAAACTAGAACAACCTTTCTGTGTAGTACATTTGTGAAGATGAAGATAGCTGAGAGCTTAAAGCCACCGAAGATCAAATGTGGAGAAAATTGGTTGATCTATTCTTGATTAAGACTGAAACTATGCAGTAATGTCATATACTCTTCCTCCGGTTTTGATCTGTTATGTTGGTTGGTGCCTTCGATCTCTAGCTACATATTCTCGTAAATATAAAGTAGAGATAAACACACATATATCGTTATTTAGAAGAGTTATAAGAACAATATAATTATAGTAATTTAATTAATTGTCATTATTTTTTTTATATTTTTATAGCTAACATAGAATAGATATTTTTAATTTTAATTGCCAACATAGAATAAATAGTAATTATTTTGGCATGTAATTATTGATAGATTTTACTTGAGACAATTTAGAATGTGCATCATATCATTTTAATAATATAATTATGGTAGTATAATAAAATATCATATTTTTAATTTTTATTACTAATTATTAAGACATAAAAAGTAACTGATAGACAAATTTGGACTTGAGGTAAATTGAAAAACTTAAGACACATTGTTTTTACGTGTTTGGTTGAGCAAACGAGTCGAGTGGCTTACAAGCGTTTGAGTCGATGCTCTACTAGAGTTCGATCAAATTCGACCTTGAGTTGAGCTCGAGCAAATGAGTTTGACAGCCTCGAGCATCATTTCAAGAGTCTTGTAAGCTCGACGAGCAGCTCGACTTTTTAGTTACATACTAACCAATATAGTTTTATTATCAATATTAGAAAATCAAAAAATTGCCAATTTAGATTAAAAATAGTACATTTATATTTAAAGTGTAGCTGTTAAAATTTAGAGCCAAACTCGAGCCATGTCGATCATTGACTCGAGCTCGAGCATTCTTATTTTTTTCACAAGTTGAGTCGAGTAGCATTCTACGTGGCTTGTCGAACTCGAGCTCGAGCAGTGAAGAAAATAATCGAGATGATCAAAGGAAATATCTAGGGTTTCGGACGATTTGAGAAGTTGAGGGTCTATATAGCGATGATGATCGGAGGAGATATCCGTGGAAAGTGACGAAGGAGAAGGATAGTTCCAGAAGTCCTTGTTTTATGAGAATTTGCGAATGCCAATGTTCATTTGGCGATTATTAATATTGTTTGTTTATAATATGAACAAATTTTTTTAGCCATGTAACGAGATATGATAATATAAAAATGTTGTAAATGGTTGATACCCAATTTGGCCCTGACCGATAAAAATGCAACACGTGAATATTTAAAATAGTAGGTTCTTCTAGTTATTTTTTGAATATTAAGTGAGTTCTTAGACTAAACAAAGACATGAAAGAAACAATACTTCGTAAATTTATAATAAAAGTGTATCCTTTCTTTATATATGCAATATTCTTAAAAATATAGGTTTATGCAAGATATTTAAAAAATTGTAGTATATATAATTTAGGGTAATTTTCATTTATACATTAAGGATTTTAAAAGAATTTCATAAATATAAAAATAAAACTTATTTTCAAGTATGTCTAGTTTAACGAAATTAATTGGATAACTACAATATAACTGTCAAACCAAAAATAAAGAGTTATCATCCTAAGAATCCAGTTAGTACGGGATTCTTTCATTAATAAAAAAAAAAAAAAAAAATCTGAACTATACAATCACGAATAGCGTTGTCCATCACGAGCAACATCAATCACAAGCTGAGTCGTCCATTTTCTAATTAACGAGATGGTGGAGAACACAATATATACAGAAAATATACAGAATATAAACAGTATATATACAAAAAAAAAAATATATACAATATATATACCTAGGATCATGTCGATTCTTATGATTTTCAGTTCAAATCTTTCATACGAAAAAAACCCTAACTATATATACACACTCTAATAATTAGTGTGCATATGAAAAAAGAAATATAAACAATATATATATATATATATATACACGAAAAATATACACAGTGTATATATATTTGCAACTATACAAAAAATAAAATAAAAAGTATAAATATATTATATATACAACATATATACCGTCTAGTGAAGATGATCGCCCTTCCCAATCCACCTCTCACGCCCTAGGTCACGATCGCCCTTCGTCTCCTCACGCCGTCTTGGACAAACTCTGTCAGATGAGGGATCTGTGATCAGGAAACCGGATACACAACTCTCATCCACCATTCATGGCACTTTCTGTGGTGTTGGCTACCGCAGGATACACATTCTCGCTTTTGGGGGATGTGTTGGCTGGCTACCGCAGGCTCGCGACTATCATAAGGTCATATGTCTTCTTCATATATCGTCTGTTTTCCCCAATTTTTGTGTTTTCATGTTAGATGAGAAGTGGATTTGGGTGCACGCACTCACTTTCTGTGGTGTTCATATATCTGGCTGTTTGAAATTTATGCTGAAATTCTTTACAAAATTTGTCCTGGACGATAGAAATTCACAAAATTAGTTATGATTGATAGCTTCTTAGTTAAGTATTTTGTTCTTAAGAAAACATACCATAGAGAATCACTTACTATACAATGGTTGTTTTGGATCTGAACTGCCATAACTTTGAGAAGAAATGTTGGCTAATGAGAAAGAGCAAGCATCAAGCTCTGTTAACCATGAAGTCGACCTGGATGAATTGATGGATGTATGCCAAAGATGAATCTCTAATCACTTACTTTTTTTTTTTATTTACAGTAACTGGCATTAGGGTTGATTCATTCTGCAGACGCATTAACTCCTACGGAAAAGCAATAGCAAAAGGCAGACAGAGGTGACTCTGTACACAACCATGGTCGATAGAATATCCCAACTGCCAATACCTATACTTCACCACATACTCTGTTCCCTCTCCCAGAAAGAAGCTGTCCGAACATGTCTACTCTCCAAACAATGGCGCCACCTCGGATCAACCCGCCCCAAACTTGACTTCTCCGAAGTATGGTTCGTCAACACCCAACAGACCTTTGTCTCCGTACTCGACCGAACCCTACAAGGATACCTTGATCAAGACCTCTTCATACACAAACTCCATCTCGACTTATTGAGGCCCGAACCAGTTGTCTCCCTTCTCGACAAATGGATCCAGATATTAGCCCTCAAAATAAAAGTGTTCAAACTCATCTTTCTTTCATATTCTGCGGCGTATTACGAACTGCCCTCGGCAGTCTTCTTAGCCGAGTCCCTCGAAGAACTACACTTGTGCCAATGCATGGTGAGCTCGGTCGAGAGCGTGCGGTTCAAACAGATGCGCACTCTCACCCTCGAACGGGTCCTCATTAATGACGTGACTTTAGAGAAGATAATGTTGGGCTGCCCTTTGCTCGGGCGGATGGCCCTTTTTAGTTGTCGGGAGATAAGAAACGTTAGACTGGTGAGCGAGGCAGCATCCTGTGGGCTCAAGCACTTTGAATTGGAGAATTTTGATTGGATCGAAGGGCGTAGCATCGAAATTGATGTCCCGAATCTCGAGACGGTCCGCATCGATGGTCCATGGATTTGGTGTCACCGCCAAAGCGCATTCTTGTTCTCTCGTCTCACGAGTTTGGATCTCCGTAACGTGATCCTGTCGAGCGAGTCGTTTGACTTGTTATCATTCGGCTGCCCGACTCTTGAGAGCTTGACCATATATAATTGTTCCGGTTTCGAGGAATTTCATCTTGCAAGTGATTCGGTCAAGTACTTGCACATCTCGACAAGAGATATACCAATTAAAGGAGCTACGATTTCTGCCCCCAACATTCTCAAATTTTTGTTCTGTATTCGGCAAGTGCCGGACACATTCTCTTTCACGACCACAACTTCCAAGGAGTGGGATTCAAATATATTCCTCTCTTCTTCACGTGAGGATGATCCCGATTTCGACATCAATTGGTGGTTCCTTGGGCTGAGACGATTGCTCAAGCCACTAAGTGGGTCTCAGATTTTTCTGTCTCTGCGGATGGACGGCGGTCCTCAGGACGTGCCCTGTAGTGCTTTTCTCAGTGACGAGCCGCCTGTGGTGGTGCGGGACTTGAAATTTGAAACTTGTGATTGGTGCATGCCGTCTTGGTACATGGGGTTTACAAATGGCTTGTTTCGTGTTTGTCGACCGAGTCACGTTTTGGGTAGTAGCCTCGCGATGGAGTTAGTGCCCTCGGGCTTTCAGTTAAACATCTTGCTTGCAAACGAGGGTCAAGTCAGAACCGGGCCCAACTTTTGGGGGCACGATTTGGAGCAAGTGTTTGTGGAAACTTTCGACGGGCAACAATGGCAGATCATTCGTCCGAGGGAGTTGCGAAACCAAAAGCAAGACGGGAAAATTCGCCTTAGATTGAAATGGAGATGTCAAGATGGGGGAGTTGCGAAACCGAACTACAACATATTTTCATCTTTTTTATCTTTTTTGGGTTTTACAACAAATTCGCCTTAGATTGAAACGGAGATTTATTGTGAAATTTCTTTTTTTTTTTTTTTTTTGGTAATTAGCGGTTTTCATATTCAAACTAATGTTTTTTTTTTTTTTCAAAATTGTACCAAGTTAATTTATTATTTTTAATTATTTGTCGTTTGACATTGTTATTCCAAATATGCTGTACATGAAAATCTTAATAAATGGAAAGAGAATTTTCAAGTATTATTAGAGTTGGATAAAATAAGGGAGTAATACTAGGAAATACATGAATTGTTAATTTCCTTGCTAGAAGCACACTTATGTATAAACAAAAATTGTAGTAAAATAAGAAATTTGGTATCTTAAAAAAGTAAAAAATAATAATAATAATAAACCCCAATATTATTATTCCCTATAAAAAGGGGAAAATGTTAGGTCACGTTATGAAACCATTCCGTCGGGGTTTGTAACTGTTAGATCATCTATCCACGATGGTTACATGATGATCTAACGGTTACAAATTCAGACGGAATGGTTCCGTAACGGGACCGTAGCATCTCTCTCAAAGGAATATATTAGAGTTAGAATTTTCAAATATGTTGTATATGGCAATCTTAATAAATGGAAAGAGAATTTTTCAAGTATTAGAGTTAGATAAAAGAATTAAAAAAATATGAAAAGAAATATAAAATTATTAGGCAGTAGTATATGATTTATAAGGAAGCGAGTAATACTAGGAAATACATGAGTTGTTAATTTCTTTGCTAGAAGACACTTAAAATATTATATATATGATTTACGTATAAACAAAATTGTAGTAAAATAACTTGCCAATTTAAAAAATTTGGTATTTTTTGCCCTTATATTCCACCCAAATCTTAAAAGAAATAAAATAAATAAACCCCAATATTATTATTTATTCCCTATAAAAAGGAATAAAGACAAAAATCTATATGTGCGCAAAACACACACCTAAAACAGAAAGAGATGGAGTACATCGAGGATATTCCGAGCACTGCCTCCAGTTTCCTCTCCGCCTACGCCTCCATGGCCGGCTCCATCATGCTTTTCCGATCAATCGCCAACGACGTCGTCCCGGATTCCCTCCACTCCTTCTTCCACTCCACTTTCGAGCCCTACGCCCGGCGTCTGCTCGACCGGCTTCTGCTCCTCGTCGGTAAACGCAAGCGCGTAACCCTAGTCGTCGATGAGAACGCCGGCATCTTCCCCAACCTCATGTACACCGCCGCCGAGACCTACCTACAGACCAAAATCCCCCCTGATTCCGACCGCCTGAGGGTCGTCAAGACCTCCAAGCGCAAGAGCATCTCCGTCGGCATCGTCCGTGGCCAGAGGGTCACCGACCGGTTCGCCGGATTTGATCTGACGTGGCGGTCCCTCGTGGCTACTCCTCAATCCGATCGCGAGCCTCGGCGTCGCTATTTTGAGCTGTCGTTCGAGGCTCCGAACAAGGAAACCGTGGTCGAAGAGTATCTTCTGTTTGTCCTGTCTAGGGCAGAGGAAATTAGGGCTAAGGACCGCCGTGTGAAGCTCTACACGATTGGCTCCACGTTTGACGACGGTGATGACGACGGCGACGAAGTCGCCGGCGGCGGCAGCATGGCCGGAAAGTGGTGCTGGGGATGTGTTGACCTTGACCACCCGGCCACTTTCGAGAGGCTGGCCATGGATCCGGATTTGAAGCGGGCCTTGGTGGAGGATTTGGACCGGTTTGTAAGGAGGAAGGATTACTACAGGAGTGTGGGGAAGACGTGGAGGAGGGGTTACCTGCTGCACGGGCCACCGGGCACCGGAAAGTCGAGCCTAGTGGCGGCAATTGCCAACTACCTCAAATTCGACGTGTACGATTTGGAGCTCGCGAGTTTGTACAGCAACTCGCAGCTTAAGGGGCAGCTGCTGAGCACAAATAACCGATCGATTATAGTGATTGAGTATGTTGATTGCAGCACACAGATGCATAGTAGGGATGGAGACTCAGACGATGATAAGCCACGTGACGGGGTTACTTTCCCTTTTCTGGCAATAATATTACATAGTTCATGAGTTAAAAGCTAACAGAAATTCAATAGAAACATGCTAAATTTTGCATCTGCCTTTTTTTGTTTGCAAACAGTTGACCTTATCCGGCATGCTGAACTTTATAGACGGGCTATGGTCCAGCTGCGGAGACGAGAGGATAATTATTTTCACCACCAACCATAAAGAAAAGCTCGATCCAGCCCTCATACGGCCCGGTCGAATGGATATGCAAATTCACATGGGTTACTGTACGCCACAAGGCTTTGATGTATTGGCCTCTAATTATTTGAGAATAAACGATCATCCAACATTTTCTGAAATCAAAGAGTTGATTCGAGAAGTTGAGATAACTCCAGCAGAGATTGCAGAGTACTTGATGAGGAACGAGGACACCGATCTTGCCCTCGAGGGGGTGCTCGATTTGTTGAAGCAAAAGAAAGAAGAGAAGAATGTGGAAATCAAGGAGAGTGAGACTAAGAAAAATAAGGTTTGTGGATGCTCTGATGGAGGTGAAAGTAAGGGGAAGAAAAAGAGGAAGGGCAAACTTGGGGCAAATGTTGGAAGTAAAAAGCAAAGGCTACCCTAGAAGTAATTTTGTTTTTAGATGATTTTGTTTCACATATTTAATTTGATATCTCAAATGATAGTAACAAGTTATTTTGTTTAGAGCAGCGTAAATATGTAACGCAATATTAGAGCAAGTTTTTTCGCAGTACTAGAGTAAAGTAGTATTGTGGTGCAAGGTTGGTGAAGCCTCTAGTGTGTGTATGAGTGTCTTTAGACACTAGCAGAATCCTAGGGAAAATTCAATCTCAGCTCATTAAAATGGCAACATGCCAAGTCTCAAATCTATCACTATATTATTAGAGTTTTCACTTTCAAAAAATATAATTAAGTGAAATTAGTTGTTAGAACTTGAGCTCGAGCGATTGAGTCAATGCTCGACTCGAGCTCGGTCAAACTTAAGCTCAAATTAAGTTTGTGCGGATTAATTCCTTTAAGGTTCACCGAACTGTAAGTATGCTATTGTGAGGCCTTACAAGGGTTCCAAACCCCATGATAAGCCCCAAACGTGCGCTTAGGTCGTCAATTGAATCTTTCCTTGGATTTCAGTCGAGACTCACAAGCCATCCTCTCCTTTTAGTCGAGCATCTGAAAACCTTCTACTCTTTCTCAATCGAATCTTTATCCCCTAACAAGAGTCAACTCAAGCAAGTGGTGGAAATTCAAAGTTCAAAGTCTTCTCTTTCTTTAGGAGTGGTGCCATTGAGGAGTCCTCCTCACATAATAGACTTTCTTCTAAGTGTAAGTCGAAGGCGGTGACTGGAATCATTCTCCAAGAGTGAATTGAGCTTCGAGCATCATTTCAAGGCTCGTAAGCTCGACGAGTCGCTCAACTTTTTATTTACATAAATAATCAATTTAGTTTAATTATCAATATTGGAACATCAAGGCCAAAATTGTCAATTTAGATTAAAAATGGTACCTTCATATTTAAAATTTAGTTATTGAAATTTTGGGTCGAACTTGAGCCATGTCGAGCATCGAATTGAGCTCCAGCATTCTTATATTTTTCACGAGTCGAGCAGCATTTTATATGGCTCGTCGAGCTCGAGTAGTGAAGAAAAAAAAATCGATCTGCAATCGACAAGGTCAATGCACGACTAAACTCGTTTGCAACCCTATTGAGGAGAGAAAAACCCAAAATCACAATTTGGGTTTTCATTTGTAGTTCGATTAGGTTGAAATTACGGGCATGCGTTACTGTGTTGCAAAACATGTGGATATTATTGAAAAGTGTAAAAATTGATGTGAAAGATAATAATATTTTTTTATGTTTTAGAACGACTTTTCCTATTGGAAATAAACTACAGTTTGAAATAAAAGTTACTGCAAAATAGGTTTGAAAATGATTTTTTTTACATGGCACGTCGAGCTCGAGCAGTGAAGAAAAGTACGAGATGATCGGAGGAGATATCCGTGGAAAGTGACATTAGGAAAAAGATAATTTTAAAAGCCCTTGTTTTATGATAATCTGCTAATAACGATTATTAATAGTTTATTTATATTTAATATATGAACAACTTTTTTTGATATTATAAACATGTTGCAAATTACAAATAAACAAAACATAGATTTATAAAAAAAGAAAAATTAGTAAATTCATAATAAAATTCTATCCTTTCTGAATATATGCAAGATTTTTAGAAATGTAATGTTTATACAAAATGTTCAAAAAATTGTAGTACATCCTAATTTATTTAAAATTAATTCAAAGCCCAACTTAGCAAACCTTCGCAGCCCCCAGGCCCCCCACAACACTCGTAGGCCGAATACAGCTCTCTTTCTTCTTCCTCTTCGATTATTCCCTCTGATCCAATCCTTTTCCATAGCACAATTTTCCCGAATAATTTCTACATGATGCTGTCGAGTTTCACACTGAAAACTTGTTCTCTGTAGATTTTCACAGCCGCTGATCTCGTTTTCTCAGCCCGCTTTGAATTCCCTTTCTCTCATTTTGTTTGGTGCTTTCTAGGTTTTGATTTTCTGAGGAAGAAGAACAATCGAACATGGATCCTGATTCAGTGAAATCGACTCTTTCTAACTTGGCTTTTGGGAATGTGTTGGCTGCCGCGGCTCGCGACTATCAAAAGGTCAGATGTTTCTTCATATGTTGTCGGTTTTCCCCAATTTTTTGTGTTTTCATGTGAGATGAAGAAGTGGATTTTGGTGCATTTTTTGTGGTGTTCTATGAAATCATTCTATTGAACGATGAGATGAAATGATATAAGTTCATGTAAGCTGAGGATTGCAATTTCAATCTGATGTTTGAAATTTATCCTGAAATTCTTTATTGCGTGGCCTGGACGATGAACAACAACAACACCAACATATCCAGTATGTTCCCAACTGGTTGGGGACTAGGGGGTCAGTTGTACGCAGACCTTACCCTTGTAATTATACAAGGAGGTTGTTTCCGTAGCGACCCAAGGTGCATTGCGTCGTTTGATATTTTTTTTTCTAGAAACTTCACTAATAGAAGAGGCACTAGAATTTAATTGAGTCATTTTGATCTAGTCCATTGTTAGCACTATGCCAGGAGAATTGTCAACAATGACTCTTCCAGCTCCATATGAAATTCACAAAATTTGTTTGATGGAAACTGTAGTTCTCGAGTGTGAGCTTTTTAGCTTCTTAATTAAGTACAATAGCATAAATAATCATTTATTAATGATTATACACTGCTTTTGGATCTGAACTGCCATGACTTTGATAGGAAATTCTGGCTAATGAGAAAGCGCAATCATCGAGCTCTGTTAACCAGGAAGTCGATCTGGATGAATTGATGGATGTAAGCGGAAGATGCATCTCTAATCTTTTTCAATATCTGCAAACCCCTCACAATGTTTTTTTTTATTTTATGTTATTATCGTTATTTTTCACACGAGTCTTTTGGTCCAGGACCCCGAACTGGAAAAATTGCATGCTGACAGGATTGCATCCCTTAAGGTTTGTTATTGAGATCTCAAATGAAATTGAAGATGCTTTCCTTGAGATTTTTTATTTATTGATTTTCGGTGCAGAAAGAAGCAGAAAAGCGACAAAAATTGAAGATGCAAGGCCATGGCGAGTACAGGGAGATTACAGAAGCAGACTTTTTGAGTGAAGTTACAGGCAGTGAAAAAGTGATTTGTCATTTCTACCACCGAGAGTTCTACCGTTGCAAGTAAGAACGTATATCGTATTATTGTCCCACAGTTGAAATGTTTGTGGGTAGTGGAGCTGTGGAGTGTAAATTTGATATTTGAATAGACGGTTATCAGATGTCTAACATAAAAGAATGTGTAAGGCCTCCGTTGTTTTAGAATATGTTTACAGTTGCTCCTCTTCTCTGCAATACATTTGTATGAAATGCCTCTTATGCTTTCTAAAGAGCTAGCGTGCATGCTTACTTATATAGTTTTTTTGGTGCCTTTTCTTTAGGATTATGGATAAACATTTGAAGTCCCTTGCTCCCAGACATTTTGGTACCAAATTTGTCAAACTGGATGCTGAGGTCTGTGTACAAGATTCGGCTGCAAGCAACTGTTTATCTCTGAGATGGTTGTAAATTTTAATGCAACTAAGATCTTATTATCACTTTTATGCAGAATGCTTCTTTCTTTGTTGCTAAGCTTGCCGTCAAAACATTGCCATGTGTCATACTCTTCAGGTTCTTCATGTCATTATTTATTAACTTTTCCACATGAATCTCATGTAACACAAGTGCGGTTATTGTGCTGAGTTTTCTTTTCTTTCTAGTTTCTCGTTATTATCCACTTTTGTTCTTAACATGGAATGGTACAGAATAACATATTAATGCTATTTCTCATTTTTGTGTTCCATGAAGTCCTCTATAATCCTAAATTTATATTTTATAATGAGGGGCAAAGTTAAGATAAAAGAGCTGCAAATTAGTCCTCGAGAGTCGAGAGAAGAGTATATCAGTATATGCCCGTGTCTGTTAACACTTTAATGGGGATAATGTAAAGGATAGTGGAAGTGTTTTCCAGATAGGGTAACTCACGGGTAGTTTTATAGTTATCCGCTTTAATATGCTAAGCGAGCATCTTATTTCACATAATCTTGAAACTGTATTCTCTCATTATCCAGGAAAGGAGTAGCAACGGATAGGGTGGTTGGGTTTCAAGACTTGGGAGGGAAAGATGACTTCTCAACAAGGACACTTGAGATTCTCTTGGTAAAGAAAGGTAATGTTTAGTTCTAATTTGCTTTCTTCCCAGGACCTCCATTAACCTCATTGCCGTTTCTAATGTTAGTCGTCATTCTTTTCAGGAATAATTGAGGTGAACAAAAGAGAGGAAGAGGATGATGATTACCTTGAAGGTCAACATAGGACAGTGAGATCATCTGTGAATCAAGATTCCGATTCTGACTGAATTAAGGCCTCAAACACATTTGGTTCTGTTTCAACTCAAATCCATGCTACTTTCTCGCATGTTTTTTTCAAGCATGTTCGCATGAAACTAAGTCACAGTTTTGGTGTGTGCATTGTAAAGTTATGGCATGCGAGTTGTAGCTTTTTCGACCTTAGCAAGTGAAACTTTTTAGATTATCGCAAATGAATATCACTTGGACATAATGCAGTTATTCTACCATGTAAAAATTGTCCGTCACTTGTTATAGTTCAAGCGAATTACTTAAGGTGAAGGAGGCTACACCAAACCCTATACGGCTTCGGAAATTTATCCCATCTCTTGTTGTTTCTCATTCATTAAACTTGATAATAGAAAGCAGCATCATTTATATCTTTAAAGCAAAGTTTGATGTAAATTTTACACTTCTTTTAATTGTTAAAGATAATGAGATATTGAGATGGGAAAGTAGCTGATCCAGAAAATGAACGAGATGAAAATGAGTTGAAGAAAAGAGGACGATGATGCTTCGACCAAATTACAGATAGGTAGAAAAAATTGAGACTAATTGTTCACCCGCTTTTAGATTTTTGCTTTTCTTTTTTGTTTTTAAGTTAAAATAAAGATGAATTGTATTTTGGGTCCGTTTAGATGTATCGTGGTTAGAGATGTTAAACAGTTCTTGGCCGGACGGGCCGGCCCGTTTAGCCCGAAAAAACAGGGTTAGGGTTTTTTATTGGTAGCCCGTTTAAATCAGGTCTTTTGAGGCCCGGACCATTTAAATCGAAGCCCGTTAGGGCTAGCCCGAAACCCGCTAGGGCTAACCCGTTTAACTTGAGTTGGGCATTGTAAATATTTGCAGCAAGTAATATACTCTTAGATTCATTGTATATTAAAATTTTGCTATTCCACTTCACATATAAGTATGAGCTGTAACGATTATATTGATTTTGAAAGATAATTATTAACAAAATTCTTATTGTACTCCACACCAAAATATTTAACTCAATCAGAATGACTAATAGGAAACAAATGAGACAAAGACCTAACACATGAAATATAGTGATAATATTTATAGTGATATAATACCGTAAAAATTTTCAAAGCGTACAAAATAAGTAGTGAAATGGTAATTGTAAGTAATGATTCGAATATTTTTTTCTTTTGAAAAACAAAATGTTATTTAAGAGTTTGTAGCTAGTATGCGTTCATATATGATGTGTAGTTGTATATATAGAGCAGCAAATAATAAATACCGTTGAAAATAATCGTTAATTAGTCGTTTTAATTTTTTATAATTTTTTTTTTTTATTTTTGATACTTTGATACATTATTATTATTATTATTAAAGCCCGTTTAGCCCGAAGCCCGCTAGGGTTAGGGTTAGGTCCTTTTATTGGTAACTCGTATAAATCTGGGCTTTTCAGGCCTGGACCGTTTAGCCCGAAACCCGCTAGGGCTGGCCCGTAATCGCTAGGGCTAGTCCGTTTAACATCTCTAATCATGGTTGGACCTTTTTTCAACGGATTGAATGAATTAATTAGTTTTATGGGTTAAGTTAATATTTTATAAATA